GCCGTTCACCCCCTCCCCAGCCCCACACTCGCCAACGTGCATACTCTGCTGCTTGGTCTCTCCCCAGGTACCCCTCACCCTGAGTCATCCTCCCTCTCCAGGTCCTGGTCCATGTCATCCTTCTCAACCCTATTTTCCCCTGGGTTACGTTAATCATCTTCATCCTCGCTACAGTCTTCATCATTGATGTTATTTGAGCACCCACAGTGTTTGGAACGGCAAGATGGAACCCCCTCTAGATCTATTTTTTCCCCTTCCTGCCACCATGTCGTTCTCCTTAACTCAAGTGTGCACAGCCACAGTAGTGTGTGGTTTTCTAGATAATTTTGGTACACACACATACACGCACCCAACACCACGAACCCTGAATTGTCATATTCTCCAAGGCAATCTCTTTCTTGACGGGTTCTGGCTAGAATTGTTCTGCTGTGTATCCTCATTTCCCCTTCAAGACGCCCCACCACACAGTAACTCTTTAATTTGCCATTTGGGGCACTGGGTAGCCCCATCAGACCGCATAACTGCACTTCGCCGGTGCTTGTAAGTGGATTATCTACTCTAATTCCTCCAGTGATGTTCGCTATCATCGGGTACTCACTTCTCAGCCTCCGTGGGTACTTCTTCAGCAACCCTGACGCCAGGAGCAGAAAAACACCCACCCATATCCCATTGTATTTAGAAGCTTCTGCTCATTGCCTGGTGCAACGATAGGGAGGAAGGAGGAGCTTCTCTTGCTGATAAAGGCAAAAATTAATAGACAGTTCTTTCAAAATGGGTAATGTTATTGGCTTTGAAACCTGGCGACTGAATTTTGTTAATGCAATTATAAAAGAATCGATAGAGAGAAGGGCTCAAACTGAGCCATTTCCCAGTAAGGCTCTCAAAGCAGTGATGATGGAAGAACTGATGGACTGCTCTCCTGGGGAAGTCTTTCTGTAGTTCCACAAGCAAGACCGTACTCATGCTCCTTCTCCAAGCCTAACTTTGTGAGCACGAGGAAGAGGAAGAGCTGGCGTAGCAGTAGGGGAGTGCATGGTACCAAAATCTTCCAATTTACTTTAGAATTTACTTGACTTTGCCTGTCAGTACAGTTGTTTTTAATGTGGACACATGTATTTGAATTTTCTCTGTAAGCAAATGCTCATTGCCGGCTGTAGTAACTTGGTGAATAACTAAATCTTTCTCAAACCAGAACTCTTGGAATTATTTGAAGCAGTGACCCGGTCAGCTTCGGTCTTCCCCAGAGTGAATATGGTCAGCTTACCCAGCTAGCAATGTGCAGCAGTGCCTTTTCTACATCTGGCAGTTCTTGCTGTCTGACTTTGGACACACTAATTGCCCCCACCGTCTTTCTTCTCTCTCCCCTTCTCTTCTTTTCAAATACTTACCAAGGGTATTATAAGCAAGAGCAATCTTTGGTCCCTAAGCGTTTATTAATACCTTAGAGTCATCATGCTTATTTGTGCCACCTGATACTGGGCTCTGGGCTCTCTCTCTCTCTCTCTCTCTCTCTCTCTCTCTCTCTCTATATATATATATATATATATATATATATATATATATATATATTTGTGTCACTTAAGAGGCTGTCACTGAAGTAAGTGTGTGGTCCACTAAGCTTTCCACTGATTTTTCGTAAGTGCTAATGTCTAGCCAGATTTACTCTTTCCTCCAATGAACTGATAGAAGACTCTGAGGGGCACCTTTTCTTTGCTAAACAAAAATGCTTGCGTCTCTCCATCCATCACATATTTAAGAAGATAGCCAAAAGAAAAGGAAGAGAAATGGGTTTGGGTTGGCATTCTGGCTCTAACCCATATAGTATTATCCTGGACAAGTGACCGTCCCCGTGTCTGTGTAAAATGTAATAGCCGTATGTCACTCAGAATGGATGATGAGTATCATAGGACACGTGTAGCGTTTCTAATCTCTGTTTTTTCTCTGTGAGGACCACTTTGTATGCTTTGGTTTTCTTTTTTCTCTTTCTCCAAGAAATACTTTCATCTCTAAGTTATTCAAATACCAGAAGGAGCTGCAGTGTAGACACCTCAGTCACCTGGCCAGATGTCCACCTCTGTGGAGTCAACATGGAAATGCAAATAGGCCAGGGACAAAGGCCACATTCTCAGGAGATTCACATCCAAGTTGGTTTTCTGGAAATTTTCTTAAAATATAAAGAAAGGGATTATAAAACCTCAGTAAAGAGAATTGACTGAATAGCACTCGACAGAAACAATGTAACAAACAATAATGGTGCTTTAATTTATCTTGGTTGCTATAATAAAATAACACTGGTGGGGTGGCTTATGTAACAGAAATTTGTATTTGGAAGGTTCTGGAAGCTGAAGATTCAAGACACCTTGCCAGTAGGCTTAATTTCTCCCAAGACCTCTCACCTTGGCTTAAAGATGGCTAGATGTGTATGTCCTTGGTGTCTCTCCCTCCACAGGCAAGAACATTACCGCGCCAGCACGGTCTGGAACCACGAGTCTCGGTGGAGGGTGTCCAGGTTGAATGAAATCCACAGAGCACGAGGTTGAGGTGAAACAGCAGCTCGTTTATTGTTCTGCTGGGGCTAGCTTTTATACCATGGCACCAAATGGGGAAGGGGCTGCGAAGGGACTCTCACCTGACCCAAGGAGGAACTCTTACCTGACCCCAGTAGGGGTCAAGGACCGATCACATGCACTCCACCTTCACCTGTCCCCAGTAGGGACTGTCACCTGACCCCGGCAGGGATCAAGGAATAATCACATGCACTCAAACTTCCTCATCCAACTCCAGGAGCAGAGGGAAGTTAAGATTCTTTGCAGATAAGCACCTCAAATGGGGGCAGGGAGATATAACTCGGGGTAGCAATTCCCACAGAACATCTCTCTTATTAGATAAAGACCTGATGTTTATAAACTCATTTAACAGTATTTACCTGTTTAATTCAGATGTTGTGGGAGCTGGTGAGATGGCTCAGCAGGTAAAGGTATTCACCATGAGGCCTGACAACTGAGTTTGGTAACCAGAACCAACTCGGTCAAAGTAAGAACCAGCATGCACAATCACAATCAAATAGATAAATGCAATAAATAAATAAATGACTCTTGTCTCTGAATATAGTTGTATTTAATAGAACTGGAGAACTGGAGGATTTCATGACAAATTTTGGGGGAAAATATAATTCATTACATAGCAATTTGTCAGAATTACTTGGGGGAATTAATTGAATACTTACCTATATTATCTAAATAGCAATAAAAAGAAAACTGCTTCTCAAATATACTTCTGTTCACAGCTACCTTACCAGGCCATGTACATGAGTGTTAAGTTAGTAAGTGAATAAATGTTAGTATGTGTATACATGCCAGCACATGGTGTTTCTCCTTCTTTATCCATTGCAGAGAGGATCAAAGCAAATTTTGAGAGTGCAAAAGAATAGGGTTTTTAACTTTACATGCAGAGAAGCAGAACTTCACTGTACTTAGGTAAGCAAGCAAACAGTTAAGCTATGTTCCCCCAAGTGCACAGCACAGTTGGTTGGTTCCTGGAGGCACTCCCCTAAAACACGCTCAAAGGACTTGGGGAAATGTGCACAATAGTTCTCTCCCACAAATTCACAAGACACATTAACAAAAAGAAAAGTGCTAAGGTATAATCATTTGCTGCCGTAAGGAAACCTGCTTTATGTGATGGTTTGCCATTTCCCAAATGCATTGGGCCATTGTTTCCTGATGCGAAAACATTCTTCAGTCAAGGTTTGGAGAAAAACTTGACTTACAGGCCTTAATTAGAAGGGCATGAAATGACTGGTATAGTCCTCCTTGTTTAACCAGTATTGGTAAAAAGGAAATCAAAATTATCCACTTACAAGACGTTTCAAATGTTCTTGAAAGCAACAAGAACACTGTTTTGAACTACAGTCTGAAACTAACCGAAGCTGTTCTTTCCACTGAGGCTCTAAAAATCATCATTTCTCTAAAATTGGACACCGAAGTTCATTATTAATTTAATTCAATTTGCTGAGGTTTTTAACTATGGAGTAGAAAAATCACTGACACAAGTCAGTTATGGCCCCTCATTACCATTTGAAAGCGGTGGTCAGTCTTATTGCCTTCAAAATCAAATCATCCAAAATTCAAATGTTGACCTTATTTAGGAAAGGTTCATCACAGAATTAGCTTAGATGAAGTCGTTTTGGATTAGTTGTCCTTATAAAAGACGAGAACATGGACACCCAGGAAAAAGGAAGCCATGTAAAAAGACACAGAGACACACGTAGGAATGAAGGCCACGAGAAAACAGAAGCCGGGAGTAAAATCATGCTGCCACTAGACAGGAAATGTTAGAAGCCATTAGAAACTAAAAGCAGCCAACACAGAGCCAGTCCTAGAGACTTCAGAAAAAGAAAATTGGCCTGATTAACCACTTGGTTTTACATTCTTAGCTTTCACAATTGTGAAAGAATAAATGTCCATTCTTTCAAGCCATGGTTTGTAGCATTGTTATAAAGTACCCCCAAGCACACAATGTAGTAGCTATATATATTTGGATGTATCAGTAAATAACCCTGAGTCCTATTTTGCTTAACTATGCAGCAGCACAA